GCCTGTCCTGGTGTGAGCCTGTCCTGGTGTGTGCCTGTACTGGTGTGAGCCTGTCCTGCTGTGTGCCTGTACTGGTGTGCTAGAGCTGCCATATCAAAAGACCACAGACCAAGTGGCTAAGAAAACAGACATTTTTTTTCTCATAGTTCTGGAGGCTGGAGGTCCAAGAGCAAGGTGTTGGCAAGTTTGGGTCTCCTGAGGCCCCCTTCTCTGCTTACACAAGGCCATCCTCTTGCTGCTTTCACACGGCCTTTCCTCTGTGCGCTTCCCTGGCGTCTTTTCCCTTCTTCTAAGGACCTTAGCCAGTTAGGATTAGAGCCCCTCCTCTCACTGTCATTTTAATAATCACCTCTTTGGAGGCCCTAATACAGTCAGGTGGCTTAGTTCTCCCCCAGCCCTACTGCCCCCAAAGGCCTTCGTTTAAACTAAATTACCTCTTTAAAGGTCCTACCTCCAAATATGGTGACATTTGTACCCCCTGGTACTGGGGGTTGGGACTTCAACATATGAATTTGGGGGGACACAGCAATATGTGTATAGCTCCTAACTGTGCCACACACTTTGCAACGCCTTCCTTTCCTTTGAGAACATTGCCTGATAAGCTGATAGTGTGGACCCACCACAAAGCAATACCACCTGCAAAACACATGCACTACAGCCAGCTGGCAGCTGGGAGAGCAAAGCTCGCCTGTCCACCATGTGGAAGTCCGCAAACATCAAGTACAAAAGGCATAAGCAATATCGCTGTCAGCTGGAGCAGGCCAATGACCGAGCTCCACAGCAGGCACTGGGGGAACCCACGGCGGGCTGTCACCACACCTGGGCATCTGTAGGAGACCACATGGCATTTACAATGAGGAGGGCCTGGGTCTCAGCAGGATTTGGATGCCAGCAATAAGACACACTTGGTTCCCTGACATCCCCTTCCAGCACAGCCCCTGGGGATAAGGAGGACATGGTCTGGGTGGAGCGGGGACAGAACTCCACAGATAAAAAGGCTGGACAGGGGCATAGCACTGGTTAAAGGGGAAACTGAAGCCCATCTGAGGAACCGAGACTTGACAAGGAGGGTGTGAGCCCCGGAGTCCACCGTTCTTTCATCCGAGACTAAATACAAGCACCTTGCCTTGCAGTCTATCTTGATCCCCTAAAAAGCAGAGATGTAACATTTACCTGGCAGAAACTGCTCCGCACACTCGGGATACAAGTAGGATCCCACATCCTACTTTTCTAAACAGTTTCCTGGGCCGCACGGGCCTATGAGCGGAAATCCTGCAGGTCTGGCTTGGAGCACCTCCCCGCAAATATTATCCAAGAACCCGGGGAAGGAGCAAAGTTTACCAACTGCAGGCCTGTCTCCCCTGCCTGCTTGGTCCTCGCTCCCCCTCCTCAGCCCTCCCCTGCCATCTCTTTCTCTTTTTAAGCCCCTTTGTCCCCTTCAAGTCTAACTCAGTTTCCCCTTTCTCTATCCCTCCTCCCACTGGCTTTAGATCTCCTTCTTAAAAAACACCTTTTAAATTGGTATTTGAAATTTTCTAAACATGATTCTATAATATAAACTCTGAAAAACTTTCTAGCTGCCTGAGTGTCACAGCTATCATGCAAAATTAACCAAAAATGCTCTAAATACATGCTGATTGTTCCAGAAGAAAGAGTCATTTAAATGATTTAAAATAAGTCATTGTAGCACACTATTTTCCCAGTGACCTCCGAATATGTATTTTCTTCATATAGGACACATGCTGTGACAGAAACCGCAGACACTACCCAGAAACTAGGGAGCCACGAATATCACTGCCAAACGCACTACCCCTGCTACCTGGGTGTCTTTCAAAACTGAATTTCGTTCTATCTTTAATACTATTGAAAATGAAAATAATCTTTGAGTATATACGATTTGCAGATGACATGCAAAGAGGGAGCTGTGGACAGCAGGCAAACACAGAGAAAGCACTTTGATGGATACAGAAAGTTCTCTGGCTATGGATGGGAGGGAAATCCATCCCTGGGATTGGTAGATATGTTTAAACAAAAGAAGGCCAAGTGAAACCATTTCTTCATCCAGGTCAATTTTCGTCACTCCAGGAGTTTTGGGGATCAATCTCCAATCTCCTGTTTGCCATACTTTCTCCTCTGAGCTGTTGTTTTTGGATCTGTTTTTCGCAGCATACAAATATTTACTCACAATCAGCAAATGAAATGCCGTTAAAATTTTGAAACAAAAGTGAAAACAACAGTTCCTGGAATGTTGTAAGCTGTACCTTAAATCAGTGAGGTACAAATTATTTCAATCACTCGTTGGCTGCAAATTTGCATTTTTAAAAATCTGGTTGGAGGTATCAACCCAACTTCTTCTAGAAACCATCAGTACGATTAATTTCCATTAACAGTAATTGACTGAAGTTAAAACGCACATAACAAAATGAACCACTTTAGAGTGAACAATTCAGTGTGCTTCAGCCCGTTCAGAGTGTTGCCGCCCCGTTGTGTCTAACTTCTTCCTGGTACACGCCTGTCCTCCATGGCCCCACCCTCCCACCTGCCCTAAATGAGCTCCTGGGAAGAACACATGAAGTCCAAAGCACCCCGGCTCCATCGGCTGCCTCCTCTCCCTTTCCAGCCGCCACATTCCTGCCCTTTCTCTGCTCAACTCCCCTGTCTTCTCCCTCGGACGCTCATCCTCCTCCACACCCGCCTACAGAAGTTCTCCCTTTTCTGCCCTGGTCTGTCTGCCTCGTCGTCCCCTCTCTTCCTCGTTCCTTGAGCTCCCTCTGCTCCCTCGAGGGAGCAACTCTGCACACGTCTGTGCCCCGGGGCCCTCGGAGTTCCTCCCCTTTCCCACCACGAACCCTCTTTCTTTCCGTTTATTTCCATCCCCATCCCCTGCCCCCACATCTGGGGTCCCTGTCAGTCTCCATCACCCCTGCTGCCCTATCTCCCCCTCCTTCCACGTCTCCTTCTCTGCACATTCCCAGCCCCACCTGGTTTCTGCTCAGTTCTCCATAGCTCCTAGGGGGCCCTCCTCGCCCTCCACTCCTGCCCTGTCCAGCCCACCCCACCCCATCTCCCAGAATCCTTGTAAGGTCTCTCCCGCCCCAGTCCCCGCTGTATCCATTTCCCACCCAAATCTCTTGGTGCCCCCTTCCCCGGCCTCTCCCACTTCCCCTCCTTATCCTTCCACTCGCCCCCACCCCTGCCTAGGTCTCCCAGCGCCCCCTGCAGGGCCCTCCTCCTCCTGTTAGCCATTCCTTTCCCCTCCAAGTCTCCCAGCTCCCCCTGCAGACCTTCCTCCCCTCCTTATCCATTCCTCGCCCCACCCCAAGGTCTCCCAGGGCCCCCTGCAGGCCCTCCTCCCCTCCTTATACACCCCCTCATGTTTCCCAGGGCCCCCTGCAGGCCCCCCTCCCCTC